TCATCATGAATGTGTTTTAGGGGAGAGGAGTTCAGACCAGTTTTCCGCAGAATAGTAGAGCTGCGCAGTTTCTTCAGTGGTGCACCAGTATTGGTACTTATCAGCAACATGTACAAGTACAGTGCGCCAATCTCTTCTACAAAAACTACAACTGTCATCAGACATTGATGTGGAATGGGAGGTTCCCAACAGGTAATAAACAGCATTAGATAATGAAATTTCATAAATTTATTGTGAAAGCAAAATAACAACAACAGTAGTATATTCAAAATATAAAAAAAAGAGTTAAAGTTTTCTGCATATCCAACATCATCTTCTGATTTTGAATATAAGGGCTTCTATTGCAAAGCATTAAAGTGTTAAACTATTGCAAAGCATTAAAGTGTTAAAGTTATCCCTTTACATTTCTTTTACTTGAATATGCTGTACAAGTGTAAATACAATTCACATTTTCAAGGCCAAACATACATCTACATATCAAGAGTGGAGCAGGGATGGATTTAACAGCCATGCAGTGGTATTTTGATGAAGTCAAAAGTAAGGGTCTGGCAGTGGAAAAAGCAGTAATATATGTAAAGTATGTACAATCATAAAACAATTTTGTTTGTTTTGATTGAGGAAATAAATTTTGATCCATAAGAATAAAATTAGATTGCTGTAGAGCATTTACAACTTCAGAAAAACAAAATAAGAATCACTTTATATTTACTGTTTTATAATACTGTTATTGAGATGGAAAAGAATGCCATATTAATACATATCATCCACATATTATTCATTGATTCGATAACATTTTCCAACACAAAAAAATTTTATATAAAAAATCCATGCTGTACTAATTGTATTAAATATCTGTCATCTTTCAATTTTCAGTGGTATAACTCAGATGTCCCGATTGGCGATTGACATTATGGGGGAACTCGGACAGTCTGCATATGTTGGAAATGAGAAAATATTCAAGATGTACCATTCCGGAATGTCTAGGGCAGATCTTGATGGAATTTTAGCAAGCTTTGCTGACCCTGAATCAAAAAGCAGGTTTCTAATTGCCACAGTTGCATTTGGGATTGGAATTAACATTCCAGACATTCGTTTCATTATGCATTGGGGTGCTCCCAAGACAGTGGAAGATTATTGGCAAGAGGTTGGTAGGGCAGGACGAGATGGAAAACCAGTACAGGCAAACATGTATGCCACAAAGGTATCTTTAATAAACTGTTCAAAAGAAATACAGGGCCTTGTGAAAACTGACAGCTGTTACCGTCAATCGTCAATACATATTGGATTTATTGTCTTTTACTCAGATATTTAAGGCACCAACCAAATTGTTCAATAATGACAGAAAATGTGAACAATGCAATTGTCCTGTTTGCTCATGTTGCTCAAACTGCAAGAGACAGTGCCCATGTTATTTTACAATCAGTTAGAGACTATTATATCTGATATTTTGAAATATCAAATTGAAGAATAAAACAGTTTGTTTAAGGACTAGATTGTTAAGTTTGAAAATTGGAGGAATTTTTTATACAGCAAATGATCAAAAATTGTTTATCAATCATTTATCATACTCCTATACATGTAGATCACAATGTCATAGTTTTCATACAATAGTTCATATTGCACAGCAATTGTTCTATTTACATAGAAGCCTCTCTGTGTCAAGTTTGACTCCATATTTCACCAGTCTGTCTTTCAACTTTGAGGGACTCTTGAGAGGAATGTGATGCACAAAATGTTCATAAGCACTATGGTGTCGTCCAGGCACATGCTGAAAAAGGCATTCTCCTTTGTATACCTTTACAAACTTGTTTAAGTCCCGTTTGTGTGACACATGGACAGACTTTGATCGTCCAATGTATATGTCTACCACCTGACTCATGAACTTCTCTTCCAGCCCTTTTCCAATGGTTCCAGAAATTAGGCTGCACCTTTGGACTGCTAAGTCTGTATACTGACCCTTGATTCTTTTCAAGTTGGCTGAAAGAAAATGAATACATGTCAAACTAAGTACAAAACTGAAATAGGTTGACATTGTTACTGTTTATCTATGCTAAATCATTAAAATATTATTATTTCATTAGTACAAAGCCACATTTCTTATAAAATTCTAATATAAAACACATACATTTTTTCATGTAGACATAATTATTTATTCAGCTGTTCCACTGAATGATAATAAACAAATTCCTACATTGAATATTTGGATTAAAAATTATTGTCCAATTGTATTTGTTTGGTTGTGGACATTTCAATTTAAACTATAAATACAAATGAAGACTCACTTTTGAATTCATTATTCAAGAATTCATTGATCAGGTCAAGAGGTATGTTGCAACCCGCTTCACCTCTCAGATTTGCAGTGCTGTTCCATATCAAATTTTCTGCTATGCGCTTGGGCATCCAACCATTTACAAAATAAATGCGTTAAAGCAGCATGCCTCCACATTCCGACTAAATTTTGTGAAGTGAACAAAGAAAATCACTATACATTGCAAATGATACTTATAACCAATGTAAATTACCACAAATAGGTCAGAATATGCAAAAATAGCCCTTACTACATTAGTAACACAGTATAAATAATAACTGGTGCACATGTAGGTATTTTAAACTGTTTGGTTATTGTTTTGTAAGAACTTTTAGGACAAACAAAAGGTATTAACTGATTTTTATTCAATATGTATGACTTACCATCTCCTTCATTACAGATACATGTGTAATTCCTATCGTCATCTACACTAGCTCTGTACTCATTTACTTGGGTCCTTATAAATCGTACAATCTCCCTTGCCAATGTGGAAACCTCATCCGAGGAAGTTAACAGCTGTTTAAGCTCCCCACTTGGTCTTAGCTGAGCGGCAAGGAGCAGGATGTGACCCTCAGTGACAAAGTCCATAAAATTTGTGAGATGGTTCATGCAGTCTGATGCTTTCTTTTTCACATTTCTATGTCCAAATACATTTTTTATTTGAGTCAGTGTACCCTTGTCACATGCCCCTTTGCCAAATAGAGTATCTAATGTCACCTGCCAAAATGATGATAAATTATTATGTTTCATTCCTAGTTTGATATTTGACTTAGTACAATTTGATATCAAAGTCTGCAACATTTGCAAATAAGATAATGATAACATGATACTTATACAGTAAACTCCGCTTATAACGAACTCATCGGGAAAGTCAAAATCTGTTCCTTATATCCGGAGTTCCTTGTAAGCATATAGCGACTTAGTTCCTTGTATCAGGAGTTTTTATAGCGAACAGATTTACATATAACGAACTGATTGTTTACCATCATCCGTCATTTGAAGAGTTTTTTTTAAAGTGTTGGTTTTACTCCCTTTCTCAATTTCTCAAAAGATATAATATATTGTTTCTAAACTCAGTGCTTTTAGTTTTCTTTCCATGAATAAGAATTAAAAAGATTTTTTATTTTTCCATCTTTTTATATTGAATATCTTCTGTTATATTTTAAGGATGACTTTTACTAATGAATTATAAAGTTTTCAAAGGATTATGCTACCAAGCATGCGTGAATATGTTGAAAACCGAATATAAATGATATCATAATTATTCTACCCGGGCAAAACTATAAAAGAAAAGAAATAATAGAATAAAAGGAATGACCGTTTTATTTTGGTGACAATAATTCTATAATGCTAAAACTATCATTAAAAGAAAACTAGTACGTTCTGCTATTCAAATTCATTTTATTAGATGTATTAAAGTACAGACAACAATTAACGGTACATTCGGCTGAGTTTTAATGCCTGTGAATGGAAACGAAAGTTGAAAATACGTTATCTATTTACGGATAGCTGATATTTTGGAGTTCGTTATAAAAGTGTAATTTTCTGTACTTTTAACTAAATTGGGACCAAGAAATGAGTTCCTTATAAAGCGATAATTCCTTATAACCGTGTTCGCTATAACCGTATATTTTTATATTAAATAAAGAAGGGCAAAATTCGGGCCAAAATAAATTGTTCCTTATAACCGGAAGTTCGCTATAACCGTGTTCGCTATAAGTGAAGTTTACTGTAGTTGTTTGTATCATTGACCTAAAAATTATAGTAATAAATATACAGTGAAACAGGGAAAAAAAAGACACATTAAAACAGAACTATCATGATTGTTGGCTTGAAGATACAGGGTAATGTACAATGCTCAATTAATAATTATCAGTATTGGGGTTTTTGGTTATTTGCATGACATTACCTACAGTAAAATAACTCGTTTATGAAAGTTCTGTGGCCTTGGGATAAGTCCCTCTTGACGGTCTTCAGGAAGAGTTGAAGATGACATGGCTATCTTTCCCTCCACCATTCTCTCTACTGACAGCTGATCACCATGGCAGATTACTGGCCAGGGTTTACCATCTTCATCTTTCGGGGTGTAGCGATGAAGGTGCTTCATGATCTCAATAACACCCTTACAAGTTGAAGGATTTTCCTTAATAACTCCAAGGTTTACCTGTACAAAGAACAGTTATTACAAAATGAAACAATAAACTTGCTGCAAGTTGAGATGTATTTCAAATAACATAAAATGTACATCATTTAATTTCAATATTTATAAAATTTTGTATGGAATGATGGTGCCACCATAGTTTACACATTTTAGGTGATATTATCAAAATATATTGTTTTTATGAACTTACTACTTGGCTTTTCCCAGCAGATTCATTTGAATACTTATGGGATATGTGCTGTTCTACTGGAAGATCAAGGTCAAGGACATTTTTCAACATTCTCTCTACAATAACCTCCATTCTGGTCTGTAATTGCTTCCAGTCATCATCACTTGGTAGGAAATTCTGTCAGAATATATATATATATGAATATTATGAATATAAAATAACAAAGAAATTATGTAACTTATATATATACTGTGACAAGCATAAAATATTACATTAGCAAGACAGCAGTATGGTCATTGGAATACATTTTCTCTCATAAAAATCATTATGATATTGAATAGTTTTACCTTCAAATCAATAGATCCAGCTGTTACTGTCTTATCCCAATTACAAGGTAATGATGTCAAGTTTACTCTGTCAAGTGTTGCAAAACAGTTTGCCCACAAAAGCATCTTGTTACCACTGAGACGGCTCTGATGCTGTGCCACTGACATCTTCTGAACATTGTCCCAACACAAGGAGTATCCAAGAATTTCTAAGATATAATATTTTAAACCTTTTTAATATTAGTGCATGGTGCCTGGTTAACATCTAAGTTTTAATGGTATAACTTTGAAAATTGAATGAATTTAAAATTGATAAATTACTGTTTTTTTTTTTTTCAACTCAATTGATTATTATAAAATAGTATTTTGCAAAAGACAATTACATGAATGTATATCAGAGTGAATGACTTGATAAGTTATTTAATTAAATAACACATTGAATGAATAAATAAATGTTAAGAATAATATCATGCACATAAAAAACTTATTTAAAGAAAACATGCATGTATTCCTAAAAAATGTAAACATGCCTTTGATTAATTTGAAACATTTCTATATTAATTTTGATAAATAAATTAGAATTCAAAATAATTCAATTATTTATTATATTGAAATGCTGATGTAAGAAACAAATCATTTAAATTCACATTTTGGCCAACTGAATGCTGATTTTTCTATGAGAAAATGTTTAATAGTTATTCATTAATAATTGATTATATGAGAAGCTGTACCATTTGTTTCAAAAATGTCAGGGAAGGGAACAAAGTCTTGTTCATCATCTGACTCTGAGTACAGGATGGTATCCTCCATCACCATAGATGTGTCTTCTATTGCCTGTTCTTCATCTTGGTCTTCATCAGTATCCTGATGGCTCAACTTCACTTTCACTTTCACTGAGTGATGACCAACCACTCTCTTCATTCCTTGTGTCTGGCACAGGTGATGGCAGGACATGAAGAACATTCTTTAAAAAAATTATATTTAAATATACTGTACTTTAATGTTCTTGGCTACTAAAACTAATACATATGAACATACAGTACACATGTATGTTATACAAAATAAGAAACAGTAATAATCCAGTGATACATGTAAATTAAAAAAACAACAAAAAAACTATATAATACCTGACTCTCAGTTTTAATAAATCCTAATATGTCTGCACTTTTAATTTTTTTAAAGCAATCTTTCTTAATTTCATATATTACCTCTTCAATATTTTGTTTCCATTCTTTAACTTTATTGTCGTAATCCTGCCCTAAACGGTCAACTAATTGTCTGGTTGTGTTGACACTCATACAAAGTCCAAACTTATGGAACCATCTGAACATCTGCAATAGTTATTTTTCCAATGAAAATTAACATGACTAACACAGCTACAAGAACATTGGACAGTCAGTCCTTGCATTTCATCTGACATACTTCATTTATACAAAAGGTGCCTCATCATTTTATAGAGAAAATTTTTAGAAATTTTCTAAAATGTTTACTTGTGTATAGGAATTTCATTTAAATCATTTTGACTGCTCAATTTATCTGATTTTTTTTAGCTATTGTTACATTTTTATAAAATTAAATTCTAGCATACCTTGTGATTACAGCCAGATCAAAACATTTGAATTGAAATGATCTGCTGAAGAAATTTGAACTGGGATGGGAATCTGTGGTGTAGAATCACTCCCACAAGGAGACCAAATGCTGGAACAAGCGGGCCAATCTTGTTTCCTAAACTGTAACATAGTAAAATGAGTACAATGTGAGAGCTAAAAAATCAACAAATGAATATGCAACAAATGTAATTCAGTGCATATGTACTATATAGATATCAAACATAAATTAGGCACAGAGGAGATTGTTTTAATGTATGGCATTTGCCTTGTTATTAATGATCCAAATTAACCTATTAACTTAATGAAAATTTCATTACATCATAAATGAAGTCATTCTATAGATAAAACAAAGAAGCATGATAGACAATGAAGTAAGTCTGAAATAACACTAATATTACTTATAATTATACATACAGTACTTGTTTTATCTTTTAAGATTTTATCTAAAATTACAAATAATAACTTGTTATGTACCATGAAATCTTGTCCTTAGTTCGTCTTGTGGTGAGAACTGACCTCAACAATGATGTTAGAAATGGAAGGTCTGTGTCAACATCGTTTAAAAAACCTTCCCATGAAAATTTATCAATGCTCTGAAGTGTGAGGATTTGCCTTAATGATGTTATCTTTTTAGAGAATGCCCTGACCTCATCCTGGACACACAGACCAATGACCTTTTTAATATCACCATTTGTCTTCTTAGACATCATCATAGTTCGTATTGCTCAATCATAGTTGGTATTTTGAACTTGTCTCACAATAGTGTCTATTAATGAAGTATGTTTGGGCTGAAATGAGTAAAATAATTGGTATCTTAAAGCATTTTGATAGTTAATACAAATAGAATAAAAACAAAATTCAGAATGAACTTAAATATTCATAAGAAAAGCTTTTAAATTTTCTTTGTTTCCTCTCATAAACCCATGCCATTTTTTTAGTAAAAAAGCGAACAATCACAACCTAATTAACATCATATATGCAGGACTTCTATATAAAACCTCTCAAAAATATATAAATCAAAGAATAGGTTAATCAAGACCAGGCTTAATCAATTTGAGAAGATTATGTGTCAGGCTTAATACATTAATTATGATACAGATAGCAAGACATTTTACCTTCACTGTTTTGGGTGTACTACATGTAGCTTTCCTTGGAGAAAAACACATCCGTTTGGCAATAGGGGATGGTGAAAAAGATACCGAAGAAACCGAAGATATGTTTGAACATATTTCTTTTCTAAAAACCCCAGAATCTGAAAACTTCCGTTTCTGTGTTGAAAGTTCTTTTTTATTTTTGCTAACTTTTTCTGAAAGCACTGTCAGTTTACTGATCTTGTTAAAACAATCACCACATACATTTTTCCCTGGTGTCACAGTTACATTTAAAGATTTCCTCACTCCTTCAACTAAGGAGAGCTGTGAAATTCCATGTCCATGTAATTTGGAGCTTACACTTCTTGCTCTTTTAAGTGAGCAGCCACAATCCCTGCACTGCTCCATGACAGCAAAAAACTGTATACATGTATTTCTCAGTTTTTTAACAATAAAACATAATTATGAACTAAAACCACTTATAAATATCAAGAAATAAGACAAAAGTCACCAGTAAAATAAAACACATGGAAATTGGTTAAAAAACCATGAAGATTTATGTAAATTTTCTTGCCATTGATAAGCACATGTTTTCTGTTTAAATAACAACATGAGTACTAAAAATAGTAAAATTCTATAAATAGTACATTTTTCGTTACTAAAAATAGATGCAAAAATTACCCAAAATTTGAAATCTCACGAGATTTCATTTGAAAGCAGACTCCATATTGGGAAACAAATTCTATTTATTTTTCTTAAAAATAGGTGGGTATACGATGATATTTAGGTTTTATAATTAATGAGAGCAGTGAATAGATGCAATATTTATTTGTTTATCAAATGGTAATATTGATTTGACACAAATTTGATTGATAAAGGTGATTTAAATAGTTATTTATGTACTGTTCACGAACTGCCAAAATTCTGGTAGCCTTTGCAAATAGGGTTGACCCATAACTTTACTGTCGCAACGTCAAAATAAAAGCGACATATAAAGTTATGGAAGCCAGAACTAAGTGTATTTAGATATCGCCAATAATGGAATTAGTACTTATACTTTTATCTAAAAGACAGATATCAAGATTTCATTATGTTGTTGCATGCTGAATTTCAATAGTTTATTATGTATTATAAATATAAACATAGATAAGTAGCATTTATTAACAATAACAAAACGTGACGTAAAAACTAACAGAAATGTATTACTCTTTCGGTGTCTTATTTCATTTTAAAATGTGTGCTCGAAGATTTACTTCTGTAGAAATAAATCATAATGCAGAATAAAATTGCAGAAACGAATGCAACATGTATTAAAGAGGACTAACTTGTTATACGTGAGCAACAATCCTACCGATTGTTTTATTGGTCAGAAAATAAGGTTATTTTGATAAGCAAAACAGAATAATTAATGTTATAGGTAGAACGGATCAGTATATAATATTACAAACAATTGAACCGATTAAATTAAATGCTTTCGAAGTTTGCAAAGAATGAATCTTTATTTTATTTAGTAGCATGTTAACATCATAGTACAAACATGTTCATACACTATCCGATATATTTATAAGGATTAAACATAATATTCTGCCTACAGCTCAGTCTAGAACAATAATGCATGAAGGAAACCCGAAGTCTGTCTTGGAAAGAAGCTATGTAACCTATACTGCGTTGGTGCGATGTAAACCCTCCCAACCGCCGCCACCATAAAAAAACAACAAATACAGCTCCGTCTACTGCCAAACAATGGTAAAAATTATCAGAATTATGTTCATAGATTATTTTATTAACTTTAATACAATTCTAAAACATTTTATGCATTGTTTAAATATGCTGTTATCATTTTTCCACTTAACAATCTCTTTTGCAGTGAAATATCTAAATTTGAGATTTGTATTTACGCCAGGAAATATTTTCAGATACACCACAAATGACTAGGTTGTTCTTTTGTTCTTATTCATTGTCGTAAGACTCATTCAAATCAGAGAAATATATACTTATCTTTCAAATGAAAAACGAGAGCTCATCTGTTTGTCTGAAGCAAGGGTTCGTCGTGAAATAAATAAATAAATCACTTGAAACTATTTGACACACGATCAAACGTTTTGCCCACTCATTATTTCTTGTAGACCTCATTGTTTAATGATCTGTCTGTCGTACCATATAATTGTTCTGTTTGTGTTAAGAAAATTAGAAGTACAAATCACAGACATTTAAAACATTGATCACTTAATAGGTTTGTATTTGACAAGACAAAAACAGTGGATCGCGGAGAAGAAAAAATACTATGATTTATTTATATAAACAACAGATTCATTTTCAATAAAGCATTTCATGATTAGGTTTTATTCAAAATAATAAGAACACTTGAGCAATAACACTGATTTTCAATTGTATTTAGGTGCATTTTTATAATTAAAATACATTGTTGTTATTTGTCAATAATGCAACTTTACTTTAAAGGAATATGCAATAAATCGTTAACAAATAGTAAAAATAACCTGGAGGCAAAGTGATCCCTTAGAAGCATTAATCACAACAAAATAACATGAAATTGCAGACGCGGTTTGATTGAGTCTGTACATGAGGGATAATGAATAAGTGTAACATCATCACGCCCCCTAGCACCGGCTTGAACGGTACTCAATTCTCAACACTTAACAGTGCTGGCATCAATGATCCCGAGGGAATAGTAAATATAACAACACTGAAGTGAAGAAAATATATTAAAAACTAAAAAACACACACACACACAAAAAACAAATAAAAAAATCGTGTTTATGCTCAAAATGATATTTTGAAATTATATTATGGCTGCGCTTTTGTAATTATCTTCTTCGATCTTTAACGTCTTTTCCTTTTTTGCTTTATTAAAAAAAATGTCAAATATCTTATCCTTTTTTTTATTTATGGTTGTTGGTGTTGTGGTTTTTATTTGTTTTATTTTTTTTTATTTTTTTTTTTTTGGGGGGGGGGGGGGTTTCCGTTTTTTGTTTGTTTTGTTGTTTTTTGTGTTTTTTTGTTTTTTTTTATTTTCATTTATTTATTTATTAAACTTGGTTTAATAAAAAGTAAATTTTTCTTCTAAGTTTTTTTTTAATATGATAACATTTTACTGGGCTTATCAATATCTGTCATATCTTCAATACTTATCATCATGACAAAACATTGTCATACATGACAAATAAAATAATCTATTACAAAACAAATATTTAAGATAAAGCTTTTACATTTCCAAAGACGATCAAGTTCCATTTTATGTTTTCAAATGCTGAAACAGTCAATTCAACGCCAATCTCCAGTGAGAGTTAAAGCATTATTTTTCCCTTTTCTTTAATGCATTGAAGGCTTTGAATGTAATTTCCTTTACGTTTATTATTTTAAGTATTTGAACAGCTAGTATCATTTCATAATTTTCTAAAAGACTCAGTGTTCCATACCCGGTTTAATTTCCGTATAAGGACGACATTCATCAAAGTATTCCATAGCAGGGTTATACATGTTATCGGTATTTAATTTGAGATTTCTGTGTACAAAAATAGACTGGGACTTTGAAGATAACGATTTAAACTCGTGACTATTATAAATGTATCAACAGTTTATGTTATGATTTAAAATTCTTTTGGTTATTTTGATATATTTTTGTTTTTATCGTTGATAATGAAATTACTTTTAAACTGCCAAAAGTAAAAAAAATGTGTTGATTCTGACCTCTGTGCTAATCGTTTAGTTCCAAATACTCCCGCTTGTAATGAGTATTGCAGTATTCGACACCATATTCATATAGTGTGACTAATACATTAAGAGGTTATTTTTTTACATATTCTACGTAAATTTGGTAATTTTCGTAGATTTTAAGTGTCGTTTGTAATGTGTAAATTACTATCTTAGGTCACTTGACAATATTTTACTTTTTAATACATTTTAAAACTTTTTGTGAAAATAGGCATTTTGCTTCAATATCATGTTGTTATTAACGAACAGATGTATTTTGACATAATTATACATCGAAATGAGCTTATCATGTCGAATTTTTATGCGGTACTACACTTTGTACATATAAAACTCGAGTTTGACTATTTTGTAACAATGCACAGTCTTTCATAATATAATTGTGTTGATTGAAACTTTATTTTTTTCCGATGCTTTTTGATCAACATAATTATATACGTTCTCTTGATTTCATTATGTTTTTTTCTGAATTCTTGTATACTGTCTTAAATAATCAAAACATTGTGATCAAAAAGATTTGAAAAACAAACTCTCAAAAGAAATTTAGCATACAACATATCCAAGACATTTCCATGCCAAATATATCTGCACTGAAAACAATTCTTTTGCAGTTGAACAAATATAAAATAAAAAATACAACAAAGGGTCTAATTGTTGATAAAGCAGAAAGGATATCAATTCTATAGGTTAATAAACTGTTTTGCTGTAATTTCCTTTTAATATGTTTGCCAGCGCATAAACATTGTAAAAATTCGGATGTCATGGTTGTCATGGTTAATATCCGTATCAAATAAACTTTCCTACTACCACAGCAATATTATCGATATTGCATGACAGATAGAGACGGCAATTTCTTTGATGTATTTACTATATATATTAACTGAACTGAGATTATTGAGTCTTACAATGTCAGTTAATGATTTGAATAACAGATCGACCGAGATACCAACAATATCTTTACAAC